AATTTTACTATTATAGTGATTCTTATTTCTGATCAAAATTGTTTTATTTCCAAACGCAACGTTTTTGGAATTTGCATCATTTATAACATATATCCGAATAATTGGATGGAAATGTTTCAGTGAAAATTGACAAGAGAGAGTGTATTAGAGAACAGATGCTCACGTTCAGAAATCATCTAAATAACCTCGTGACAAATGGGGAGCGCTCGTTCAATAAATTCAATATTATGCGGGATACACTAAGAGAAAGCAGCGTTCTTTGCGTTGGCAATATACGAACCTCCTGGTCCTTGTAGAGGTCGAGGTGTTCCTCAGGGTTGAAGGACTGGGCCACCTCCAGCACCTCGGCCACGTAGCTGGGCTGATGCACGCGGATCAGCAGACGCAGGATGTCGCGCTGCTTGTTCAGCAGCTCCTTGTCCGCTGCGACAGAGGGCCACGGGTCACACTCACGCTAGAGCTGGGCGGCCACAGCCGCAACTGGCCCGGGGGTGGTTTTAAGCGCATGTGCGTGTCGCTTGGTTGTTGGATGCGGAGGGGCAATGAACGTGTAACTGCGTGTGTGGGTGAAGGGTTTTTGCTCTCTGCTTGGGCTGCTGAGTTTTCAACTGTCGAAAGGTGGTGGTCTTGGGTGATGTACAGGTTGTTGAAGGGGGTGGGGGTGAGGGGGGTGAGCACTCACCGACTTTGCGCGTGCGCTCCGGGATGACGGAGGCGGCGGCGAAGGCCGCGACGAGCGCCAGCACCAGAACCGTGGCCGTCCTCATGGCAGCTCCTCTGGGGAAGTGTGCCTGGGCAGGGCGCGCGCCGCTTTTAAGGCGTCGCTTATCTCGGACTCTGCCTCCCCGCCCCGCGCCCCGCCCCGCACGCTTCCAGCCTGTGCTGGTCCTGTGGGGCGATTCCGTTGCGGCCGTGGGCCGTCAGGCAGCGGCTCTCAAACCCGTTATGGCAATATAAGTGATTTGCGGAAACTTCCTAAAAATTAGTTTTTAGTAACTCTGTTTGTAGAGGTGATATTAGACAATTTTTTCTCAATAATTTTCATTAAATTCAATATTACAACTAATATGTTATATAATGTTTTACACCATTCGAATTTTTTGGCAATATATACATTTCTTACCAAGTAAATCTATTAATAAACCATTAACCGTATGGTTAGGAATGCTCGAAAAATAAATATAATTATTAATTTGATAATGATAAAACCGTCATTGTACTTTTATTGATTACATTTATTATATATGTATAGTGTGATCTTAAATAGATTAATATTACGATATCGTCGGTTCATTTTCATTGGAATACCAATTATGAATTTTTGCAGTTTTTTAGGGCTGCGACGTGTTTGCGTGAATTGTACTTATCGTTTCTTATTCCGTTAGGATTAGCTTAGATATATTTAATCAAAAAACAATAAAAAAACTGTATGTGATGTAGGGATGAGATTATCTGCGCACGTGTTCATGAATTCCAGAATCCCGTTGTGTCACATTAACTACACATAGTTGAAAGATGAGTAAAAGTTTAACATAAATAAAATAAAATTTTAAAAATAAATTTTAAAAATAGCAAGAATATCAGTATTTAAAAAAAATCGTTTTTGAGTTACAGAAAACTTATTTGTATCGGTACCCGATGTGCAAGTATGCTTTTTCTGCATTTCTAACAATATTGCAAATTGCCGTTACCTCTTCTCTTATCATTGCAAGCAAAAGTAGAGTTCAACGAAACGTGCTTATAGTGAAGCTACATTTACGTCCAGAAGCAAAATAAGGGACCATCTCAGCAATAGCTCAATGTATCTGGGAACTGACCAAAAACCTGATTGATATGAGGGTCATTGACCCGGAAGCTGAAGTACATTATTTGTTACTACCATATTGTCTTTGAAAAAAATATACAAGACAAATGAAAACTAATTCATTATATATCACTGTTTTATTAAAATAAACATTATTTTTATTTTTGTTAATCAACATATTCTCTAATTGTATAGAAACTGTTATACAGGAGAAAATATTTTACTTTTAACTTAAATTTGATAACCGAATCCAATTGAATCATGTCGTCTTGCAGTGCGTTGTAAAGTAAATGTATTGTATGTGGATTTCTAATAGCAGTCGATACTGACACTCGATGAACGTAATTTTTACGACGTGTGTTGTAATTATAAATATCTGTGAAAATATCTTCCTACCGTTAAGTAAGTTACTTTTGAAAAATATTCCAGATTTGTAAATATATAGGCAAGGCAGTGGTAAGATTACAAGCTCGATGTAGAGAGGCTTGAAATGTAACGCGGATGGAATTTTTTCATTATTCGAATAATTTTCTTTTGCAATCTAAAGGTCTGAGGACTACATGATGAGGTTCCCCAAAATTTTATACCATATCTAAGGCGGGAAAGCACATATACAAAATACACGCAACGAGCTGCATGAAGGCTAACAAAATTTGAATGAATTCTGAATGCGTGACATAATGAACTTAATTTAGTGTTTAATTTTGTTATGTGTCCATTCCATTAGAGGTTTGACTGAATTTAGAGACCTAGAAATTTTGTTACCTGAACATCAGGTAATTGCAAATTATTCATTTTCAATGAAGCATGCGATTTCTGATTTGAAATGCAAAAGTGTATTAAAACTGTTTTTCCCTCGTTAACTATTAATTTTGTATTACAAAATCAATTTGAAAGTTCTAAAATTTGTTCCATTTTTTGTTTCTTTTTTGCAAAGAACATTCGTGTCATCGGCAAACAGAACCGTTCTTCTATTTTTAATGGACGACGGCATATCGTTTACTTATAACAGAAAGAGGATAGGACCTAAGATCGAGTTTTGCGGATCCCCATATTCAATTGGTAAAGAACGTTAAAGATAAGTAAATAATGTCCTTTCTTGCCAGTACGGTATTTCTACTCTTTGAGATCGATGTTTAAGGTACGAGGTTATCGAATCTAGAGCGATACTTCGAATTCCATAAGTAGGTAATTTTAATAGCAATATGTTATGGTCAATAACGTCAAAAGCTATCGAAATATCTAATATTATTCTAATGGATGCTTCATTTTGGTCCATTGATGAAGGAACATCATTAAGAAAAGAAAAAATGGCAGTTTCCGTATATTTTGATTCTCTACACCCGTGTTATAAGAAAGAAAACGCTTCGTTTTTCTGAGAAAAGTTATCATTCGCGTATTTAAAAGCCTTTCTAACGGTGTATAAAGATAGGTTCACAGGTTTTCAATAAACAATCCGTGAATTCATCTAAACCCGATGTATATTTTTAATGTTTAGTTTACTAACTATTCATAGGATATTGTTAGAAGTAGTTTTGGAAATTAATTTCGTGTAGAAATTTTTTCGGGAAGGGAAAGCATTTGAATTTGGTGTTTTTAGTCCGTACGTGGGTTAAGCCGCCATTCTAGATGTGTTGGTTGCAGAGATTTGCCAATTTTTCCGGACTACTGGCATCTCTTTCATTATCCTTTAAAACGACAATCTCTACAAAGTAACGAGATGATGGGGTCGTATTTTTTAAGATATTCCACATTGCTTTACTTTTGTTACTAGCATTTCAAATTTCATGATTCTTTTTCATTATTTTTGCCTGAACTATTACTTTTGGCAAATATTGACTCATGTAAGTATTGGCGTCTGTTAGAAAGTGAATCTGTAATATTCTTTCCTTCATTTATCCTACAAAATTCATTTTAAATAGCTGCATGTTTTGTATCGACGGGTCAAGTTAGGAATTCCTAATTAGCAGGGAACCGATTTCAATGAGTCATCTACAGCGGAGTGAACAAAGCTTATCAGAAAAATTTCTCGCCTAAGCATTCTTCCCTCAGTAAAAAATAACTCTAATCTGTTTGCTAGGTGCAGTCAGCATCAGCATCTATTTATGACTTGAATTTTATCATAAATTTTAATTTAACACACATGTATAATTGATGAGCATTGTTTTTACTGTTATATAATCTATATTTCGTTACTGTAAGCGAGGATAGGTGCTATCACAAGTGTTGGCTAATTATTTGAGAGGATTAGAGCGTTCTGGGTACGTTACAGCCAGTGCAGAATATTCTATGTAAGAAGCGACATTGACAACAAAACAACGAACGTTTAGAAGTGTAGAGGTTCAAATATTAAAAATCAATGTTCAAAATATATCGGCTGAAAACAATAGATTTTTTTAAAAAGGACTACACATATTTTAAAACTAGTATTATACCCTCTAATATCAGTGTTCTTATACAGGGGGGAATTCCTTTCACGGATGTCCTGTTTATTAATTTATCATTAGATGTAGTTGATAAAAGTCAAAAATTCTCAGAACGATTAATAAAATTTTTATTTTCTTATGGGATAATAAAACAATGACAAAATGCGAAATGTTTCATTCTTGCTGACTTTTGTCTATAGAAGTTTTAAAAACAGATATATGAAAATTATAGTAAATTTTAATTATATATTTTCTGTCAAAAACGAATGGTCCTAAAACAACATGTACTTTCTTGCCTTCAGTAATATGTATGTAACACTATACCACAATTTCTCTCCGAATTAACTCATCTCGAACATTATTTATTGTAAAACTTGTTACAAATCGTACACCATTTGGTGCAAAATCAAATATTTTGAAGCAAATATGAAGATGAATTTGTTACTTATAACTGATATTCATGCATGTGATAAATGTTTTCCGACAATATGATGTAATTCACGGACATTGGCTCCCAAGAGATTGTGACCGAACTATGGTTTCATTCCAATCTGATATTCCGGGAAAGCTTGCAATTTTTAATTTATATATTTCAAATAAATTTTAAATAAGTTCTAGTACAGTCTAGTTCTTAAATAAGTTTTCGAAAAACCAGGCATTTTAACGAACATCAGACCTACACCAGTCGGTAAGCGTCTATAACGCTATCCAAGGTTTATATTTAATTTAAAAAAATGTGCCTGGTTTAGTGATTGATTGATTGTTAGTGATTCCGCTAACTACAAAGGTCATTAGTTCCGTACGTGCAGTGCACGAT